AAAAAAAAAAAAAAAAGGTCTGTTTCTAGGTTTCTTAATTGTGAGTATACTTTCAAACTCTCTTACATACAATTGGTATGAACATATATACGTGTGTCCATGCTACAAGTTTATTCCAAAACCTAAGAAATGCAACCCACAGCCATCAAGTCGATTCTAACTGGTGGTGACCCCTAGGACAGAATAGAATTGCCCTATAGGGTTTGAACGGCTGTAAATCTTTATGGAAGCAGGCTTGCCTCATCTGTCTCTCAAGCAACAGCTGATGGTTTTGAATTACTGACCTTTGAGTTAGCAACCAAATGACTCAACCACTTTGCCACCAAAGCTCCTACATACTTATTAAGTAGTATTGATGCTTTGAGATATAAATATGGAAGACTTTATTTTTTTTTCTATAACTTCTTCCAATCATACATTGTCATATCCTCATTTCTCATATTTTAGCATAATTTGGAGCAAAGTTTATTAATTTCTGGTCGGTTTTGTTCATAAAACTCATTCCAGTTTATTTTAAAACTTCCAATCTCATGTCTGATTCTAAGCATGTGTCTATCCTTTATCCTATGTCAAAGCTGTGGTTTGTCAATTATTTTGGGGCAATGAAGAAAAAGAAAAAAAAGATACATATAATGGGGTGAAATTACTATTCTCTTCTTATTATATATTGATGCCTCTATAACAAAACACTAACTGTCTTTTATGCCTTCTTGAACATTTTTGGCAGTAGATATATATACATATATATAATGTATGTGTATATATATATATGTGTGTGTGTGTGTGTGTGTGTATGGATATATACACACAAAGTTAAACATAAACCTATCCCTTGTCCTACAATTTTACTCCTTGTAATTGGCCCAAAAAAAAAAAAAAAGCAATGACCAAAATGTGTCAAAAAATAAAACACCAGATAGAATAGCTGAAAAATGCTTCTGCATGTATGCATAACAGCCAAATACTGGTAATAATTCAAATGCCCAGTGACAGGTGAAGGATTAAGCCAATAATTATCTATTTATACAAGTGACCTAATATTGATTCCTTACTGTGCCTTGTGAGTATACTTCAGAAAGCTCTGACAGAACTCCCCTGAGAAAAGTTTTGTGTTAGAAGAAGATTTTACAGCAAATACTATTCTCTCTACAATTGATACACTACCTTTTTGATTGCCATCTTCTCCTGTATTCCTTTATAACAGAGGACTATGAAGATATTTAGTGGCATAGACTTAGTTCTAACACCTTCCAAAGAGCCTTAGGGCAAGATGTCTGCTTCCATTTTTGGAAACACCTTGGCACCGTTCTTTAGATGGTGTGACATTTAATACGTCATTCTGTGGCATAATTTGGGGACACTAAGATCCCTCTGAAAATTCTATTGCACACACACTCACACACAATAAACAAAAGTGTTATGCAGTGGTTCTAAATGAGGGGTGATTTAGCAATCTACTTTCATAGTGATACCGCCTCAGAAACCCAAGGAGGAGCCGCTATGAGTCAAGTTCGACTTGATGGCACATAACAACAACAACAACAACAAGGACATTTGGCAATGTCTGGAGACATTTTTCTTGTAATGTGTGAGGAAGAGGTGATACTGGCATTTAGTGAGTAATAAAAAAGAATGCTGCTAAATATCTTGCAATAGACAAATGAGCCCCCACAACAAAGATTTAGATAATCCAAAATGTCAGTAGTGCCAGCATTGAGAAACTGAGTTATAGGATGTCTTTACTATAGATTTTTATAGAGAAAATGTAAATTCAGAAAACCACACTCAGAAACATGGCATTTTATAAGGGTGAGCTTATGTGAAGTAAACATTCCATGCAATCAAGCTGCAGTTATTTACAGTGATCATAGACATTGTCTTCTCAACCTTCACACATCAAGTCATTTCAATAAGCTTGTATGGTTTTTGTGAGAAGTAATTACAACTAGAAATGATAGCAAAACCATATTCCCAAAGGACAGTGTGGTACAGTAACCTAATGATGCAGATAGAATATCGTTTAGTACATTTTAAAAGAATTATGAAGAACACTGCTGATGACATTATGTTATGTCCTTTAGAACAAAACACAATCTTTTAACTATATAAAAAAAAAAAACTTACAGTTCTTCTAAATGATAAAACAAAAGCCTATTTTCATAATTAAAAACAGGAAAGCTCTTCACTTATTAGTGCCATTAGTTCCATAAATCCATCCCCAACAGATATTTTTAGTTACATATGTTGGACCAGCAATAAATGAGACATTTTGGAAGAAAAAGCATGTTCCTAATATCCCTATCTCTGTCCACACTCATAGATCAAATATTATTCCAAATAATTTTGTTGGTTTATTGAAAAGTATTTATACATAAAGGACTTAGAATTACAGATTTATTATATGTCACTTAAAATATACATCTTTTCACTTATTTTTAAAATAATTTTGAATGTACCATATGCCAGACACTAAGCTATATATGAAGGTAAAGCAGTGACTAGAAAGATAATACCCTTGCCAATTTAAATTATGATGTTCTGGTGTTCCAGTGGGAGAGCTGGTAGCATAGTGCCTAAGACACTTGACTGCTAACCAGAAGGCTGGCTGTTCAAACCCACCAGCCACTCCTCAGAAGGAAGATGGGGCAATCTACTTTCTTAGAGATACTGCCTTGGAAACCCAAGGAGGGGTCGCTATGAGTCGGGTCCTACTCGATGGCACATAACAACAACGGCAACAGTGTTCCAGTGTTACACATTAAAATTGAATCTCTGGGAGCACATATGGTTAAGTGTTCAGCCCCTAGCCAAGGAGTTGGTGGTTCTAACCTATCCGGAGGCACAGTGGAAGACAGACCTGGGGATCTGTTTCTATAAGATCCTAGCCTTGAAAACAATATGGAGTGGTTCTCTGTACGCATTTCCCATGAATTGACTAGATTGTAACTAGCAACAAAAACAGAAATAGAGTTTTAGTTAATGCTGAGGCAAAATGATTGCTAATTAAAAAAAAAAAAAATTTAAACTGAGGGAAAATTTAAAAATATATGTATGCATGGTATGCTGAAAAATAATTTTATCTTAGTTTTACATTGAAATTAAAAATCAAGAGTATTACTGTTAGCGCTTATATGTATTGCAAAAGGATATTTTAGTCACAGTTCCATTGACAATCATGAAAAAGAAATGTATCCATAAAAATGTATCTAAAACACAGGTATTAAGTTAATTAAGTGCACACATTGAGATTTCTCCCTTTATAGCTATTATTTTATTTCTAGCCCAGATTTGAACTGATTGAAACTTGTTACCATCTATTTACTATTTGTTGGCCAAAATTAAGGGAATCTATCTTCCAATCCAGCTCATTTGTCAATAAGTCAGGTCATGTTTATAAATAAATGATCTCCAATAAATTGAAAATAATTGAGACCCATGGTGGTATAAGGATCAGATTTAATGATTGTTAGATCACACTAATAAATAAGGAAGGCAGCTTACATCGCCACTTTTAAGGTTAGATACTATAGAAATGTCACAAAATTTCTGCTTGGCAATTTCAAGATCTTTTTAGAAAATAAAATGTTCCTTCTGAAAATGAAATAAGCATAACAAAGAGACATGTGTGTTTGTGTTAGTGTGTGTTTTGTGGGGGGGCTGTATATGTAGAAGTTTCACTAGACAGATGAAGTGCTTGAAGCACATTTAAAAACGTGTCATCTATGCTTGCATCTGAAGTTCTAGTGCATTTCAATATATATTTCACAATGTAGATTACCAAAGTCATCAAGAGAAATCCAGAATGCATCTTAAGACTTTAAACTAGTAGT